TTTGTTTGAAGAGTGACACGGCTCGATTGTACGATTCGAGTGCTCGACCACGATCACCTTTCTTTCCATGAACGTTACCGATGCTGTTGTGTGTGATACCAATACTGACATGATCGGATGGACGAGTTTTGACAATAATCTCGAGTGATTTCTGGTACCATTCGAGACTCGTATCATACTCACCTTTCTCATCAGCAACCCTACCAAGACGTTCATACAACATACCAAGGGAGGGATCATTCGATGGAAGTTCGCTCAACCATCGACGATAGTACTTTTCGGCCAAATCGAATTTTCCCATGTTTCTTAACACATCACCAAGAAAGAGAAGATTCGTTTCCTCTCTGTCGTATTCGTTCTTCACGTGATCATACAGCTGTTTGAGATCATTGTCATCATCATCACTACATAATGTCATTCGAATGATTATTGACATTGTTGCATCAACTGATGATAGATCGCATTCAACCGAAATATAGAACCAAGCATGAAGAGTATTTAAAACTAGGACGAATATCAATGAACTCGGCGATCTTGTCAAAATGTCACTTACTATGACGACTGACTTTTTGTTGGTCGACATAGATGATGAACTAGAATTCATTCAGATCTTTATTCGAAAGGTGGCAATTAGGGGTGCTATATTACTATTACTTTTTATTACTTGTATTACTTGTTAGTTTAATAGCCATTTTAGTGCAATTTATTATTTTGATGATATATCAATTGTTATTTTTTTATATTACTAATTACTCTTATGACTTTTAAATTTTATTACATTATTACTAGTAATAAGAAATACTTTTTTTCTTACTTATTATTTGAAATAAAGGAATAAAAATTTAAAAGTTAGAAAATTAATTGGTAATAAAAATCAGTCAAGTATTCATATGCCCATCGAATAGTACATCAATAGGTCCTGTATGTAAAAGGAAACCCAGTATCATACCTAAATGTTATTGATAAATTATCTAGCTTATGCATCTGACATCGATAGGTCTTTTAAGTGACAATAGGCCAAAAACCAGTAGTTATTGTATATCTATGGATTCTGTTTCGACATTTTTATGATTAATGACGCGGTTATCTTTACCATTGACTGTTGTGACAATCAACGGCGTGTTTCAATAGAAAAAGTTTTCGTACTGCACGAAGTACAATAATATTTCGATATACAACATTATTTTGATACTAATATGGACAGGCGCAACGATTCTTCTATTTATCCCAGGATTTTGAGATCCGCCTTTAGAAGTAATGACAGCTCAAATGATAACTAGAAAAGAATTAGCTCTCCTCACAGGAGAAGATTCATCTTATCTATCTCCCTATCAGTGTCGTAGCTAGGATTTTTTGAGTGACGGGCCACTTCTCAGCTAAATTATTTTGAGATATGGGCGGTATTGGGCAATTAAAAATCGATTGGGCCGCAACTGGAAGTTGTCAAAAGTTTATTACTACCTCCAAATCTATGTTGTTTCAAGGAAATTTGTCACTACCCTATTAGAAATGATCGTGTTTGCTCCTGTTCTCTTTTTCATAAATTAATTCTTTATTTCTAAATAACTATCTATTTATTTCTACAGTAAAAATCATGGTTAATCATAAATAGAACGAAAAGAACATCAACTCCCTTTATCATCTCTCACCACATAATGGTAAGAGGGTATAATCAGATTATCTGATTATACCCTTAATTTTTTTACATGGGATTTCATTACTGTTGCTACTAATTACTAAGTGAACTTTTCTCGATCATTTGAATATATTTCAACAGCAATCCGCGTTAAAATAACATCATCTAAGTTTTAAAACATGCATGTATACCAATATTTTTCGGTGTTGGGCAATTGCCCAATGCCCCCCGCCCCCATGACTACGCGCCACTGCTCTCTATTGTTTGGCTTCATTGGAAAGGCTTAATTTGGTCGATTTTGACAGTCAAATCTCAATGCGTGATGGAATTACTACGAATACAAGTACTGCTAATCGTGGAAACAATAGTAGTATGAATGAGAATTTACACGAAAATATTTCATCTTCTTTCAATTATTTTCGGGTTGTTCAGCTACTATGTACTCTAAATGCTATACTTCGCATTGCATTAATAATGAACCTGTTAAATATTGAAAAAGTATTTCTTCTTGAAAATTAACCAGTGATAACGAGTAAAGTTGAGGATCATGAAGAGTAAGATTCCATAGTGCGTAATATTATGTTTATCGCATAAGATTTAGTGTATCAATTATAGGCATTAGAAATCTATCTATAAATTGTCAAATGTATCCTTTAATAAAAGAAAACTATTGAGTTTATTTGGTAAAATTGAAAATAAATATTGTAAAAATCTAAGAAGTAACCAACAAAATTTAATCTTGTTCGTCTAGCATTAGATCGCTGCAAAAATATTGATTTAAGCAAATTTCCTTGAGACTTGTGTACAAAACAAAGTTGATTTTCTTTATTTTTTCGATCAATAGAAATCCCGTTATACTTCTTCAATCTGTTCAGACCAGGTGAAAGATCATAATTACAATTTATACTTATTTGAAAATATGTCGTGAAAATACGATAGGTCACCGTTTATGCTTAACAAACAAACTCTAATGTTTTTTTTCTCATTAATTTTTGACTTCTGAATCCCTTCAGTAATATGTGTAAAAATGAATTTAATCAAGAATTCATTGTGGCAGTGAAAAGCAAGTACAAAAGTACATCTCTACGGAGAACATCTGCAGGTGAAAATGTTATCAGAAAAAAACGTTTAATAATAGAAGATTTCTACATACTCAAATAGGTGTAAAACAAGATTAGAATCTATATTGAATTTTAAAAATATCTGAAATGCATTCTTCTACATATAAAATGTCTCTCAAAGCATCACAATGATGAAACTGAAAATTAGTTAAGATCTCAGAGTCGGTATGCTTCGTTAAGACTAATAGAAATCGAAAAAGAATTTTAATCATCACTGTACTCGATTGAGTTCAGTGTACTTGAATTAATTTGCTCAAAAAGTCTAGCTATGGTATAAATGTAAACTACTATGAGACAAGCAAATGAATTGAAAATATTTGAGTGTATTCATACAATAGAATGTATATAAAAGAGTATAGAAAGCACTTCAACAGAGACAGGAAAATATACTTGAAAGAATATTTTCAGAATTATAATCTGAATGACGTACTGTGCATTCTTGAGATAAGAAATATTTAGCCTTTGATTAACATAGATTCGCGTTTCAGTTTTTTTTCAACGTGTGAGAAAATGCCATTGTGACAATTTAGATCAATCAATGTTTTCTTTTAAAATAATATCTATATATTTATTTTAGTCAAGAGAAAAAAAGCCATGCAACAAAAAAATATAGAGATACACAAAGCAGACACAATAGAAAAATAAAATAGAATAAAAGAATTGAACGATGTTTACAAAGCATCATTTCTTTCTCTCGATATATGAAGATTGTTGAACTATAGTCTTACTAATTATACAAAACATCATTCTGCGTTTGATGAAACACCTAAATATTGGAAAAAAATCATTTAATAATCATACGGTAATGTTACAAAAGCAACTACACGAACGAGTGGTTATTGAGTACTTCAAAAAGTAACAAGTTATTCGAAATCAATAATATATTTGTCCTATTTAATATCATGTTGGTTTTCGTTTTCCTGATCTCATGACGAGAAAAACTCACAAAGCATTTAGATATTTTGCTACCTTTTATATATGAGAAAATTCTTTACCTTTCAACTTTAATAGAGATTAACTGGTTGTTTTACATATGGATTAAAATTTCCTATTGGATTTGTTGGTGGAACTCCGTATGAATTTTCATTAGTTGGTTGTGGTCCTGTTGGTATCGTCACAATCTCTTCTACAAAAGTAGTAAAGGTTAAAATAATGAAACAAATATCTAATAAACATACTTTTTTGATGTCGTCGATACCGAATGCAAAGTAAAAGAGTAACAAGAACAATGGCCATGAATAGAATAATCCAGCCGAAATTTGATGTGTTTGTTGCCAGGCGGCTAAATACATAGAGATAATTAGAATTTTCAAGGAATACAAAAATAACAATATACCTGCTTCTTTCCGGTATACAACAAAATTGCTTTTCATGTTCACCACAGCAAGACTTTGCTTCATACGGAAATCCATTCAATGGGCAACGAAATTGTCCGAAAGCCGTACCATTCATCTCTTCATTATTTACACAAGTGTCTCCAACTAAAAAAGAAAAAGGAATTTCAAAAATGAAAGAAACTCTATCACTTACCACCATAGCCTGGTTCATAATTGCCACCCGGTCGTGAATGAAATGAACTAGACATTGATTTCATCAATGAATATGCTGCTATACCACTAGCAGCTCCAGCAGCAAAACTAATAGCTTTCCCTTTAAAACCACCACCGCCACCACCTTGACTAAATAGGGAATATAGAATAAAAGTTTAGTTCGTCAATAAAATCGAACTACTTACGTTTGAACTATATTAGGTTTATAGCTATTAGGTCGATTATAACTTGATGCACCAGCAAATGTTCCTGAGCTTTTCGAGCCACCTTTGAAACCGCTACCTCCTCGTCCACCTGCGAATCCTTTTCCATCGGTCAATGAAAATATCAAGACTAATTATAAATAAGTATGCTCATTAATCATAGAAATCATAGATAAACTTTTTCAACTTACATGCAATAGTAAATAAAAAATTAAATTGTTTTGATAGATTAGTATTCTTCATTGTTTTTCTTCTATCAAATCAAAAGAATAATATCTATAAATGCAAAGCAAATTTATTTCAAAAAAGCAATTTGATAAAAAAATGAATAATAAAGAAAATTTTATTATACACATGTTACAACTTCAGAATAGACTGGAAGGACTATAAACATAAGATTTTCTTTTGGTTCTATTTTATGAGATCTTACGTTAACTACTCGTTTTGTAATCGATGTTTATTTGCCGTTGACATAGTGGTTTGTATCTCCTAATAATATAATTTATTTGATTTTAGCATTTAAAAGAAAATAAAACGATCAAATAAAAATCTTATGTTTTTGAACACTCACCATTACTATACAATGAAGTTTGAATGGGATACATTAAATAAGACTTGACACCTTGTGATTCTGCAATATCAATAATTTCAATTGATGAAAAGAAATAGAAAAAAAAAGACGAAGTTCTCGTCTATTTTCTAACCTTTTCGTGTTAAACGATATCGATAATAATAAATACATACAATCAAAAGACTAGACGCTGTCATAATACCAATGATAAAACCAGCCACTCGACTACTAATAAAGAAATTATAGAACATATGATGATCTCTTCTCGGAAAAAAAATCTTTTTTCGCCTATTGATTTGAGCTTGATCAGGGAATAACTAATACGCTGTACGAATCCAGAAAATCTATGTATTAAATATTCTTTGACTGAAGCACAAAAATTGAGAAACAATGGAGAAGAAAAAGAATTTGTGTCTGTATAGTAGTTCTGGCTGTCGTAATTGAGCAAAGCGCATAACCAGACCATTTTAAAATTACTACTAGTAATAGTAATGTGAGGAAGGAGAAAAGAAATAAAAAAAAGAGAGAATAAACGCTGACAGACAAGCAAGTACTAGATGATCCTCGGAAAAAAAATGGAAACACCAGAAAAGTAGAAAATAGAAGAGTACCTTTTCCAGAAGGAACAACAATATTGACGTTGAGATGGACCGCAACAATAATAATTATCGTGTGGAAAAATAGGCAATAATGGACAACGAAATTCATTGAAGATAAAATTAGAAAAATTTTCTCTATTTACGCAAAGACTTCCAGTACCGTCTAGAATAAAAAGAAGTGTGAAACATGAAAAACTTAGTAAAATACAGTTATGAACTTGTCAGTGTATGTCTCGATTGACTGAATTGCTTGTGATTGTTCGAAACATATGATCGCAATGCTAATGTACCAACTAGTAAAGCTGAAGCTGATCGAGTTGCTCCTCGAATTAAAATATGATTATGGGATTGATGCAGAATTGGCGATTGTCTATACAGAAATAAAAGATAAAAACATATATTTCATGTTTCATTCTCGTATTAAAACTAGATTGTCGACAAGTTAACTTCATATTACTTCGCGTTAAATGAGGCAGCACAAAATAAAAGACTTGAATCCGATTTATTCATTCCGATTTTTGTTCAAATACATCAAAAACTCTTCTTATGACAAACAAATCGGTAATAAAAATAGATGTACCTATTGTTGTTCGCGACAATGTGAGTTGCCGCTCACGTCAGAAGACCTTAGTCTTCCACTCCTCCTAGCTATTTTTGGTACAGTCTAGAGAGATTCTGAAAGTATTCTTGAGTCTATCTTAATAAGAAAAAAGTCTTTAAAGTCATACTACCGATACATATTTTTTAAATGAAATTTGTTTTTGACCAAATTTCTAGAACTAAATAAAAAATCATATCAATAACTTCTTGTATCGAGTCTATCAAAATGCTTACGAGACTCTAATACGAACAATTTTCCCACGACCTCCAGGTCGACAATCAATGTTGGTTGCAACAACTTGAAAAATATTTGAAAAATATTTTAATTTATACTATGAAAACTTTTTTTACCAAAAATAAACAATATAATCAATTGGGTTCGTATGATTGCAGGTCGGAATAGAGTCATGGTGATTAAAATAAAAATATTTTTTCAACTATCGATACTGCAGTAAATATACACGTAATTATATGCATATATACATATTTTGATATGCTTATTGATGGCAATCAATCACAATATTTCTGAAAGGTGACAATATTGAGAGAGAAAATTAATAGAAAACATAGAAATAAATAAATAAAATCTAAATGAAAGCTTTTATAGATTAGAAATCATCCTTGGGCGTTCGTTAATTGCTTATCGAAATATTAATAACATGTTTTCAATATGCAAAGAATTCACATTTTGTTTAGAATACAAAACCTTGAGTTTTGATCTTAAGCTCGATCGAACCTATGGGCTAGTCTATTGTTTATGTTTAGTTGCTATCATGGTATCGAAGTACAGATGTTTGACTCATACTAATCATTTTATTATTATGCTCATGATCTTTATATCATAGATCTATGCCATCTAGTTCGTGGAAAGTGACAAACGACATCTATACTGAATTGATTGTAAAATAAAATCTATACTCATTGGTTTAATTTGGTAATAATTTCATCAATATTTAATATAGATCTGAATACTATCTATGAATTCAAATGAAAATTGCTACAATTGAACGTATAGTTTCTGTTCGAAATCATCCAAATGCTGATCGTCTTGATCTCGTTTCAATTCTTGGTTATCAATGCATAACGCCACGTGATAGTTTCCTACCAGAACAATTAGTCGTTTTTATTCAACCCGATTCTGTATTACCGAATGATCAAGTATGGGCACAAGCCTATTTAAAATATGCTCGTCCACGTGTTCGAGCTATGAAACTTCGGGATGAATGGTCCGAAGGTTTGATTGTTCCTTTAACTGAGAATGAAAAAGATTTTAAAGAAGGCGATGATGTAGCTGAACAATTAGGTATAAAACATTTTGAACCAGTCATTATACAAGACGCGACAAGTGTTCTCGGCCCTCTACCATTTAATATACCTAAAACTGATGAAGAACGTATAGAAAATTTTCAAAATAATCTTCCCTGGAATGAATTAGTTGATGTAACAAAAAAAATTGATGGTACATCGTGTTCGGTTTATTATTCACATGAGAAAAAACAATTTGGTGTATGTGGAAGAAATTGCGAATATGATTTAACAAAATCAAATAATTTTACTCATATTGTTTCCAAATATTCTTTGAAATGTTGCCTAACAAATTTTTGTGAACAAAATCACATATCGTTAGTCTTACGTGGTGAATTATATGGTGCTGGTATACAAAACAGATCCAATAATTCACATTGCACACAACCACTACAGTGGGCAATTTTTTCTGTTTATCTATTTAGTATTGATGGTAAACAAGGACGATATACAAGAAGAAAAACAGATAACTTATTCTATTCTATTCAGCTTGCTGAACATCTCAATCTACCTCATGTGCCCGTGATTGAAAGTCAAGTGCCATTAACTCAACAATTAATTGATAAATATTCTTGTGAAGTTGATCTATCATTTGGTGAAGGTGTTGTTATTCAACATGATCATGGTTCATTTAAGATAATTAATAAAAAATATGATGCAAAAAATTAATCATGTTTTCTTTTATTGTCTCTCTTTTCTTTTGTTGTTGCTGTTTTATTGTCAATGAAGACGAGTTGATTCTTTTTTTTTCTTCGGCTGTCTGTATCGAGAGGAAAAGAAAAAGAACAATGACTTTGTGTTTAGTAATACAAACAAGAATATCAATCAGTAACATTATTATAATAGTTCTTCGCTTTTCCTTTGTACTACCGAGCAAATATAGTTTCTCGTATGTCTTCTATTGTTATTATTCTTATTTCGTATCGATCTTTTAGCTTACATATATACATAATGATTCTCCGTGGAGAAATCACTTTAAAGAGGTAAGATTTCCCCAGAAATAATAAATATTTCTTATTGTGCAAGAAACCAATCATCTAACGATAAAATTGCATGTATATTTGTGAGAAGAAACCCCATTATAGATATCATGACAAAACGTCTACATCATTCATCATCATCATCTTCATCATCATTAGAAGTATCTACACTAGAGGATAATGATGATCTTGATTTATTTTCTTTTAATCGAATTCCATGCCGTACGAAAAACTCCGGTCGATATCAATCCAATATTTATACTGGTTTAATATCATCAAATCGTCGGTATTCAAATGGAAAACTTTTCACTCGTCTCGAACAATTAATAACAATAAATCACGATGATCAAATTCGTTCGTTATTATTAACACTTCGTCATTATTCAATGAAACATCAATGGACGCGTACTCTCTATTATTTAAAATATATTTTACAGTCATCATTTTGCCGATCCTATATTCGTCTTTATTGGCAATTTATATTTCGTTATCTCATAGAAAATTTTCATTCCAACGATCAAATCGATATAGATTTATTACCACAGATCTTTGAAATACTATTTCATTCGCCAACAATCAATCGTACACAAACATTTTATTCATATCTTTGTTTGTATTTAATAAATCCACAAACAATTTATTTATATAATGATATTGAAACACGTTATAAAAGTCTTCCAGCATCGTTCTATTCAGGTCGATGTAAACATGTCACTTACATTCCCATATTTGATCCAAAATTTGAACAATTATTAATAATAAATTTACATTTTCTATATGATTATAGACAATGGCTAAATAATTATACAATTATTCAGACAACAATAAATCCATTTCAAGATAAAATTCAAATTTTTATTGATGACGAACGAGATTTAGAATTATGGACATTTAAATTATCGACTAATTTTCATGAAATTCAATTTCTATCGAATCAATACTTTGATAATTATGATATTTATTTACTGAAATATCTTTATTTTCTTTATGTAACTGAGACGCATACAGATCATATCTATCCTATACTACAATTGTATGCTGAACAACATCGAACATATATAAATGCCTATAAATATATTTACTGGTTTGATTCCAATCTAGATGATCTAAAGAAATTAATTGATTTAGATCCAAGTTCATCACCTTACGCATTAATTTATTGCCAAGAAATACGTAATCCTATTGAAATATTTGATCGATTATTTGATTATTTAGATTATGAAAAAAATAAAAATGATTATCAAGCATGGAATTTACTATTGAAAAATCTCTTCCTAATTGATATTGATGATAAAATTATAATCGAATGTATTAAACAGAATTGGTTAATAAGAAAAAACGTATGGAAAAAATTTCATTTTAATAATTTTGAAAAAATTGATTATGATAAAGCAATGATTGCCTATATATTAATTGATAATGCACAAATAAGAATAAATATACGAGACAAATGGTTAAACAATGAAGACAATGAACAAGCCGATCTATTACATCAACGATTGAGTGTTATTGATTAAAATACTTCGTTTATTTTATTTTTCTATCTTTCTACTTGATTTAATATCGTTGTTGATTTTTCAATATGAACTTATCTTTTGTTTATTCTTCTTTCATCGAGTGAGCAAGCGAGCGAGCGAGCGAGCGAACGAGCGAGAAGAGGAAAATGAATGAAAACAGAAGTCAAGGGTAGATATGTTTCAGCGGGAATCAACCTACTGCTACCAGAAATGACAATTGTTCATTGAGAAGGAATCACTATCATTCTCAGACATACGCAAAACGTCTGTTACGTTGTGCGCACACATGAGTGCCATATATATCTCGTCATCTGCATACGACTATTGTAATAGTCATTACTTGGGTAAATGTACTAAAGAGCAGAAAAAGAACGAGAGAAAAAAAAAACAAGAAGTTCATTGTTGACTGGACAGGCCAGGCAGAAAGAAAGAAGAACAGCTTTTTCTTCTTCTTTCTTTCGTTGTTCTTTCTTTTCTTCTGAACCTTTGAACACCAACAACACATAAGAGCGGCCACACATCATATTTGTTACTAGTCGAATGTGTTACGCGTTGATGTGCTCTTCTTTTCTCTCATTCACTTACAATCAAAAAGAAAAAGTCGATTTCCTTAAAGAATAGTAAATGCAATAATAATAGTTGAAGATACTTTTTCTTTTTGCTTTATTTCGTTTCTTAATCATTCTTCAAATAAGATTCAATTTCTTTTTTTTTCTCAATTTCATCGTTTTCTTTTCTTCAGAAGTATGTTTGCGAGCGAACAAGTCAAAATAAAGAACAGCAACATCATCATCATCATCATCGAACATATAACTATAATAGAATAATGGTTAAAACTAACGGTTCAAGAATAGTGAATGGCAATGATCGTGCTAATGATCATATGATCACATTGAATATACATATTCCACATGATAATGTAATTCATTCAATGCAATTCGACGTTCAAATGTTAATTAGCGATATATGCCATAATATTCAACAACATTTATTAATAACAATTGATCATGAATGTAAGCAAGCACTATAATAGTCGATTTTGATTCTTAAAAAAACAATAAAAAAACCTCCGCATTTCATTTTCTAGTATCAGAATATGGCCTTTTCATTAACGATACGCAACATACATTGAGAAGTTATTGGCTTGATCCATCAAAAACTCTGATTTATTATGCTTTGAAAAATGGAGTATGATTCAAAACAAAATCCATATTGAAGTTTATTTTTATTGTTTCACCTTGTTTTTATAGGATCATGTCGAGTACAAAAATCGATACCGTCCACTTAAAATTCGTTTACTTGATGGAACTGTTAAAACAATTCTTATTGATGATTCATTAATTGTTGCTCAATTAATGGTTTATATATGTACGAAATTTGGTATTGCAAATTACGATGAATATTCATTGGTTTATGATATTGATATGGACAACAATACCAATGCTTCAAAAACGGCAACTCTTCTTCGAGTAATTTAAATTACATTTGTTTTGTTTTTAGAAAACTACGATGAAATTCTTCTAATGATAGGATCGATCATTACAACGTACTGATAAGAAAATGGAAGAATTAAGGAAAAAGTGTCATACAGATGATGATAGTAAGTTTAATATGAATAGATTAGTTTGTTACTGAATTTAAATCATTCAGCTCTATGGCTTGATCAATCAAAAACTATTCGTCAACAGAATATCGATGAACAATCTACTGTTACTCTACGGCGAAAATATTTTTTTTCTGACACTAATATAGATCAACGTGATCCTGTACAACTTAATTTACTTTATGTTCAAGTAACACAAAACGATTTCCCTTTGAAAAGCAAAACTGAGTATTTTTTATGATTTATTAGTGTCGAAATGGAATTATCGATGGAACACATCCAGTAACTTACGACGAAGCGATTCAATTCTCTGGTTTACAATGTCAAATACAATTTGGTGATCATGATGAATCGAAACATAAGCCAGGAATAATTGAGTAAGCAATTTTAGAGGGACTTGTAATCTTATAAATTATACCGTGAGTGAAATATTTAATATTAAGTATGAATAAAAAGGAAATAAACTCTACATTTATAGCCAGAAATTCTCTAGCGACAGATCTACCTATAGGAAATTTATTTTTACCTTCATAACAAGGTTGTTCGCTTGTTACGTTGCCTAACTATCGCGTAAGAATAGTTCGCATTTCCTACGTATGAACTTTGTATGCACGTTACTCTGTATGTGGTCCTTGGATGACCTTTAGTTGCAAAGCAAAATTCTAAGAGAGCTATTTTTCGAACACCTGATATTTCATAATTGGAAAGAGTTCGTTTTCATGTTTAATAACTGAGCTTTCCATATTCATTGACACATAGAGAAGAAAAAAAAACTCTAATTAAACTCATCACTCTACGCGTGTTTTACGCAATCATAGTAATGATTTTTCTTTTGCCAAAATATATCTCACGAGACGACTAGACTAACTCTCATGCATGATACTTAAATCAGATCGATTGTGGTCTAATTTCATCCGGTATAGTGGCATGTTAATAAACTTGATGATGAGTTTGCTTTAACTTAGCGGAAAATAAATTGTAAGTTTCGCCCAAAATGTTTGTTCTCCTTAGTTCAATAGTGTGTTTATTGGCATTTCCGGAATAGAATATTTCTTTTTTCTTCTTCTATTGATTTACGTATGCCTCTATTTTTTAGTATACGAGATTTTCTACCAAAAGAATATTCAAAGACAAAAAATGTCGAAAAAAGAATCTTTCTAGTAAGTTTTCTAAGATAGTAATAATTTGATTTTAATAATTTGTTCTTGAATTTGCAAGGAACATAAAAAGCACAAGAGCCTATCTGCACTTGACGGTAAAGTAAAATATACACAACTATGTCGTGCATTACGAACATATGGTGTCACATTTTTTCTTGTCAAAGTAATTAAAAAGCGAGAGAAAATTAAAAAAAAAAGATTTCTTATATGTTGTTATCTTAGGAAAAAATGTCTGGTAAAAATAAACTTGTACCACGTCTTTTGGGTGTTACCAAAGAGTCAGTTGTTCGTGTTGATGAACGAACCAAAGATGTAAGATAACATCTCGTTTTCTTAATAGTATTACAATATAAATATTTTTCCTCGAAATAGTTTATTCAAGTATGGCCATTGACGCATGTCAAACGATGGACAGCATCGCCAAATACATTTACACTTGTATATAAAACAAAATTTACTCCAAGACAATGATTGAATCCATGTGCTTTTTTTTCTTTTGTCTGTATAGGATTTTGGTGATTATGCAAGTGCTTACTACTCAGTGCAAACGCACGAAGGCCAACAAATATCACAACTCATCGCTGGTTATATTGATATTATATTAAAAAAGGTTTTTACTTTTTTTTAAAATAACTATTCACCTGCTGATGTCAAATATAAAACATTGTTTATAGAGAAAAGATCGAGATGATAATACAATGGGAGATCATATTCCCGATGAAGAAGCTACGATAATTGAAGATATTATTGCACCGGGAAAGTAAGACATTTTAGTTTTGTGTTTCAAAATGATGATTCGGCTTAATTATTAGAGCAACAATTATTCAACCGAATCGTCCACCAGTTGATTATGTACGCCAACAAAATGTTTATTCACCGCCATTGATTCGTGGCACATTTTCTGGTACATTCTAATTTCTTTTTTAATGCGATGAAAAAGAAAATATGTGACTAGCTACCATAGTACTGCATCGAGTATTGAACTATCAATAAATTACTTTTCTTTTCTTACAAATAAGTGAGCTATAATGACATTTTTCTCTGTGACTCTTTGTAATTTCAACCTATGAAAACCGTCTGGAATAGTATAGACAAAAAGAAAAAAAGGTTGTGTTGACGATATCGAACGAGTTTTTTTTCTTTTTACGCCTTACTTAGTTATATTCATAATAATCATAAGTATATTCGCATACCTCAATGGCAAACAGATGAAACAAAAAATAAAGGCGGAAAATATGGGTATTTCTCTCTTCGTTTCGTTTTGCAAATATTTATAACACTATTTTGGAGGCAAAGCAGGTATGCGTTTTTATAAAAATTACAATCAATCTTCCGGTAGAAACATAAGGTAAATCGGTTGTTGAGTTCTATGAAAGAAAAATATCTTGCCGGTTGTTATTACTCTTTAGAAAATAACTATCTGAATAAGAAATTTCTCTGGTTTTTACAATCAATCTATTGTTCGTTTTGTGTTTCTTTAAGAAAATGCAAATCATGCTGATCATCATCAAAAAGGAGAATACTTTACATCAAAAATTCATGTAAAAGAAAAAAAAACATTTTTCATTTGTTCCGCATTCATTCCTTTTCCTTTTTTTTTCTATTTACTCTAGGAACAACCAAAATCATTATCGGATATTCATCATAGTAATGGCTGCACTACTCTTTTTTCGGCAATTGAAAATGCTAGAAATACAACCAATACAATACAATCACATTTATCACATGAATTAACAATGGAATATACACAACAAAGTCAGCCAGTATCTTCTATAATGGTTTGTTATTTTCATATATTATAAAACATGATCCAATAGAAGTTTATTGAGTCAGAATGTACGCCCACCCTCATTTTATGACATGTGGAAATGGCAGACTCGTTAGAAAACAGCTTATCATAAACGTGATAGAAATCACCACAGAAAAAAGTCACAAACACGTTAGTAAAATCTCCGCCTCGTTTTCTCACGATTCTGATTGTGACAAACACAATTAATATAAAAACTATAAAACCACCGAGCATTTATCAGTAATGTTTAATTGTAGTATATGTATGAACTAATTACTTCCTTATTGAATAAAGTAATTTCCCTATCGTTCATAACAGAAACAATCTCATCTTTCACATTTTAATTCCGCAGAGATTTTACTAACAGCTTTTCTATCATAATTTCTCTCTCTTTTGAAGGATCATCAACGTCAACATCAATATTCAATCGAAAATCGTCTTGACGCAAGCCGTCAATTGTTAACCAGTACATTATCGACAATAAATGCTTCAACAGCGCACATTATTATTTTAACATCTGATGTAAATACTAATCATCATCGAAATTTCGATTACAATAATTCTCTTAGTTCAACTATAGTAACAATAACAAATAATTTAAATGAATTTTCTAAAGGAATCAATGTTTATATCAATTTAATTGATGATAAAACAAATTTACTTGATCAATCTCGTCGTTTATGTATAACATTTAATGATTTATTAATTTGTATTAAAACATTAATAGAAAGTAATTATGATTCAGCAACAAGACAAAATGTTCTTTTAACTGCAAGTCGTCTTGGTGAAATCAATCAAGATCTTATTCGACGTATAACAAATGATTTTGATTGTTCCATTGACTATCAAGATAAATTATTATCATTGTCGAAATCAGTCGCTAATACAACAGCATTATATGTACTCAAAGCAAAAGACATTGCAACTAATGTACAAGAACAACAAGTTGTCAATGAAATTATTTCAACAGCAACACAATGTGCATTAGCTACATCACAATTAGTTGCTTGTACGAAAGTAGGTTGACATAGAGATTCTTTTGGAGTCTATAGAAAGAAATGAAAACATTTTTTTTCCAGGTTGTTGCTGCAACCATATCAAGTCCTCTATGTCAAGAACAATTAATTGAATCAGCTCGTAATGTAACACGTTCGATCGAAGCTGTACTGCAATCTTGTTTACCGCCAACTATTATTGAATCATCCTATTGTGAATTAAACGAAGGTGGTAAAACAGTTCGTAGAACTCTTGGCGAATTTCTACTTCACATTAAACTAGTAACTGATAGTACCGAAGCTAGATCTGAGAGAACATTTTCTCCTATGATAAATAATCAATCAAAATTATTTTCACATCGAATGATAGCACACGATGAAATCGAAGAACTCGACGAAGAAAACCAAGATACACAACACGATGAATCGATTGATCAAATATTAATTGCAAGTGATCAATTATTTTCGTCCGTTGGTGACACAGCTGAAATGGTTAAACAAGCAAAAATTCTCGCACAAGCAACTGCTCAACTTGTTTCATCATTACGACAACAAGCTGAATCCGTTGATGATGATACAAATCAACAACAGCGATTTCTATCAGCTGCTAAAATGCTTGCGGATGCAACAGCAAAAATGGTTGAATCGGCTAAAATTTGTGCAACAAAACCGCATGATGCACAACTTCAATATCAGCTGAAAAAATCTGTTGAAGAACTTCGTTTAGCAACAAATATGGCAACGAGTGATCATATTAAACGAAAAGTACTAAAACGTGTTGAACAATGTGCGAAACACTGTGCTTCATATGCAACACAATGCATAGCTGCGACATCAGCGTCAGCTGTGACACATAAACATCATCAATCACATCAAGATCTTGTTCAACAATGTAAAGTTATTGCTGATCTTATACCGCACATTGTTCAAAGTATTCGTGCGTGTATGATAAAGCCAGATGCATATGCATGTCAAAATAATCTATTAAATACATGCGAAGATTTTCTTGGACCAGCAACACATTTAACGAATCTCATTAATGCTATTCTGCCAAGTATACAAGATCAATCTCAAATACTTCAACTAACGAATAGTTCGAAACAATTATCTCACGGTTTAAATGATCTCAGGCCTTGTCTCAATCGAGTAAAAATATTTATCGTAGAAATTTTATTGTTCTGTAATAGGAATATTTCTAGGCACAAGAATTGTGTTATTCAACACCACTCGATACTGAAGCAATTGTTGAATCGATTGAACTACTCGATCGACAATTGAATGATACAAAACAACAAGTCAATGATGGGAATGTAAGAATTCAATTTCAGCAAAAACAACATTGTTTCTTAGAATTTAGATTTTATTTTATTTTATTTCCATTTATTAGATTGATATTTATAATGCACAATTTAATGCCATTTGTAAACATATGAATACAACCATATCGCAACTAATCAATGCTGTTAATCAAGTAGATTTCATTGTTTTTGTCTAGTAAAGCGTTTTATTATTTTCGATTTAGAACGATGAAAAAGCACTTGAAAATTACATTCATGATGTTCTTCAAGCTCTTCGTAAATTAATCGTTTGTACACGTCATATAATAGCAGCATCTAATGATCTTCAAATTCAAAAATATATTATTGAACGTTTACATGATGTTCTTCAACATTTTACTCATTTCCTATGTGAAGCTAAAAAATCGATTCGAACAGTCAATGAACAAAACAATCTTTCTCATGTAGCTCATGATCTATTCTCAGCATTAAATTCTTGTACATTGAAAATTACATCTCAACGTTATCTCAATGAAGCTATTAAACAAATGTCTGAATATATTTATACATTGGCTGGTCCTTTCGATCGAAAACTCCCACCTGCACCAATCGATTCCGATGAAATAAATCGTTCGGCAGCTATGTTCAATCAAGCAACACATGATCTAGTTATAAGTACACATGCAGGTGGCACACAAGATTTAGCTCAAACATCAGCTCATTTCAGTCGAGCATTCGGAGAATTTATTGACAATGGCATTGATTATGTTAATCATCAACAAGAAGATGAAAAACGTTCGCGTTTAATAATATCATTAAAAAATGTTCATACATCGTCAAATCAATTATTAGAACGTGCAAAATCGATGTCCGTTGAACCGATTACAAAAGAAAATAATATAAAATCTCAATTAGCTGATGCAGCAAGGTAAACTGATAGAACATATCATTTATCGATGGTGTCAAATTTTATTTTTAGAGCCGTTACTGAAACTATAAATGATGTCATAACAGCATGTTTAGTGACAAAATCAACAGTAGCTATGGAACATATTGAATGCGATAATGCTATACGAGAAATGGAGACATCGAAAATTCTATTGCAGCAATCAGTTTCACAGCCGTGCACTAATTATACATATTTCGAAGCATTAGATAATGTTGTAGAAAATTCTAAACGTTTAGGAGAGGCTATGACACATATTGCTAGTGCTTCAAAAAATACAAATCATCAATTATTTGTACAGGCTGTTCATGAGGCATCGAAAGCTGTTTATGGTTTAGTTGAATCATCGGCTCAAGTAAAATTCTATCTTGTTTTGTTTTTGTATTCAAAAGTTAATCTATTCAAATTTTTAGGCAAGTTATCTTATCGGTATTTCAGAAATAACATCAACGAAAGGAACTGATTCTATTGTTGATCAAGTATTATTCAATAGATTCGTTACATCTATTAGACATGCATGTTCCGATTTATCAAATCCATCGATTGATAGAAGTGACGTAAGTATTTTAAAATTTTCAGTTGAATCTATCGACTCTATTATAACAAAGACGCATAACATCCTGACAACCTCACCATGCCTACACGTATAATCATCTACATCCGTACTTTCATCTTTCGGAAATTCCATTGTGTATATAGATAATCAATAGATGCATTAGGACAAGACATGCTTCAATAAGCAAATCTCCTCGAGAAAAAAAAAACGATAGTGCTGAGTTTCACTAACAATCATGATGTGTCTATATAGCACTATAGATGAAAAGAGTTCACTTGAATTTAAACTTTAAAACATAATCGCGCAAGGTCCTGTGTTAAATTTTTTCAACTTTTCTGTTTAGATTTTAACATTAGCAACTACAATTGCTAAAAATACATCAGCTTTATGTAATATTTCACGTGATGCATCATCAAATACAACAAATCTCACGGCTCGACGACGTTTTGTACAATCAGCTAAAGATGTAGCAAATGCAACTGCAGAACTTGTTCGAACAATAAAAGTATATTCATACATATATATTTATTGGGCTGCTATTTTCATTGCAAATGCTTTATTATTTTTAAGATATTAGATGGTTCATATACACAAGAAAGTCATCGACATTGTATTGAAACAAGTCGCCCATTGGTGCAAGCCATTGATGAACTTCATTCATATGCAATGTCAAAAGAATTCGCTAGTATACCACCAACGATTAGTTCTGCTGTAAGATTTTATCAAAACGAAATCGATTCGTACTTAATCAATTTTTATTTTGTTTTAGGGACGTCAATTACAAGAACCAATATTATCAGCTGCTAAAAATGTAGTTGATGGAGCATGTCGAATAGTTGAATGTTCAAAAACATTAATAATTAATTCAAAAGATGCCTCATTGTGGCAACAACTTGCTACACATACAAAAAGTGTATCAGAAGCCATTAAACGTTTAGCAACATCGGTCAAGTATGTAATTTTGTCTAATAGATACAGACTTTTTATGTTTCTTTTTTTTTTTCAAATAGAGAAATGACACCTGGGCAACATGAATGTGAACGAGCCGTTGAAGAACTTCGAAAACTTTTTCAAGAAGTCGATACAGCTATCATGAATGTCGATTCATTACGGAAAACAGATAAATCTGTTGAGGTTTGATATATATTCTCGAAATAATCTATGACAATACTCTTTGAAATCACGAGATCGTAACATGAGTTTAGTTGACGCATTGAATTTTATTTCTAGTTTCATCAAGAACAAATTTCATCTAGTTCACATTTTCTTACTGAACTCGTCAATAGTATTCGTCATGCGGCAAAATGTGAAGCTGAACGAATTAATTCTTATGTGTCAAAATTTATAACCTATTTAGAATCATTTCTCCACCATACAATTAATTATGTATCATACATGGCACATAGACAAGAAAAACTTCCACTATTGGAACAGAGCAAATCTCTTGTCGAAACAAGTTTGCAATTGATTTTAAGCACAAAAGAATCAGGTGGAAATGTTAAACATATTCAATGGCATAAAATCGTTGATAATAATAGTGATTTACTAGTAAAATTAATCAATAATTTAGTTCATACAATTGAAGAACAATCGTCAGCGATTGGAACAATGAATGGCTTATGTGAGAATATATATAAATTAATTTCAACATTAGATTCAACCATGACAACGAATCAAGGTCATTTTATTGACTATCAAAGTCGTATGACTGAAACTTTACGACAAATTACAAAGACCATTGAACAGATACATCATTCAAGTGATGTTGTCAATTTAGCTAATCAATTAACGTGTCAATATAATGAATTAATACATGTTACCTATGGTGCTATGGGTACAGCAACAACCAATGATTTAGCCGTCCATATTAAAAATATTGTGAAAGATTTAGGTTTAGTATTTATTGAATTAATTGAAAAATTAGGACGAAATAATTCAAACAGTGATTTGAATATTCTATATCGAAAACTTATTGAAAAAGTAATTTCTAATTAATTTTCATCTTCCGTTTTTGTTTAATTATTATTCTTTAGATTTCATATATTTTAACTGTTTTGAGAGGTAGTGCACATGGTATCGAAGCTTGCATTACTGCTGCCAGTGCCGTTAGTAGTATTATCACGGACCTGGTAGGATTCATTTTATTTTTCGTATAAACTGTTATCTATTAAATTGTATAAAATAGGATACAACAATTTTATATGCTAATTCTGGTAGTTTAAATTCGGAGCATGTTGACGAAAGTTTTTCGGATCATCGTGAAGCGATTCTAAAAACAGCAAAATTACTTGTTGAAGATACAAAAACGTTAGTTGCAGGTGCAGCATCATCACAAGAACAATTAGCTCAAGCAGCTCAAGCAGCTGTACGCACGATAACCAAGGTAATAGCAACGTCTTGTTTTGTTTCGAATACAATCTACTTAAAATAGGACTTGAAAAGTAAAAGATTTGAAATTATTTTTAATTTCAGCTTGCTGCAGTTGTTAAATTCGGTGCAGAGTCACTAGGCACTAATGATAATGAAGCACAGATAATGCTCATCAATAGTATTAAAGATGTTGCTGTGGCGTTACATAATCTAATGAACGTAACAAGATCGGCTAGTGGAAAAAATATTATGGATCCTGAAATGCAAAAATTAAAAGAAAGCGCAAAAGTTATGGTAACCAAAGTAACATCATTATTGCGTACTGTTAAATCAGTGGAAGATAAAGCACAACGTGGAACACACGCTCTTGAAAGTACTGTTGAATCAATTTCACAAGAACTTCAAAATTTTAATAATGGGCAATTGTCACTAACGCGAACATCGCCAGAAGAATTAGTACATGTGACCAAACAAGTAAAATAACTTGAGATATCTGTAGGATTTGATCCTATTTAATTCATATGATTTCTAGATTACAGTAGCAACAGCAAAAGCCGTATCAGCTGGACAATCCTGTCAACAAGATGATATTACAAGTGCAGCAAATATGGGTCGTAAATCAATTACTGATCTTTTAGTGATTTGCAAATCAACGGCTTGTTTAACAGATGATAAAAATTTACAAAAATGTATATTAGATAATGGTCGAACGTGCGTCGAGAACTATAAAGAATTGTTAGAAACCATTCATATGTTAATTCACAATCCATCAAACGAAACTAAGCAAAGATTACTTAACTATTCAAGAACAATCATGCAATCAACACAAGAACTTGTTCGATGTGCACAACAACTTAAGGGTAATTAACTAATTATAACAATTATTTCAGAAAAGTACTTTCGAGAGATCGATGAATCGCAATTAAAACTCCTTGTAGAGTCTTGCTGTTTTACATAGTCTGAACCATAGATGAACGCATTCATAAGTAACGAAACTAACAAAATTAAGTTTATCAGGTGTGCTTCTTTTTAGAAAAGTTATGTATTGATAGCATTTCGCTTACTTTAGTGTACAGAAGTTACAATGGTAGAAATGCCAAATAATCTTGCTACTAAATTAGTTCACATATTTATAAGTATTCGTTCTATTTTTAATAGGTACTGATTTTATTGATCCCGATGATCCAAGTTATAGAGCAGAAAATGAATTACTTTATGCTGCTCAATCGATCGAATCAGCAGCAAAGAAATTATCCTCTCTGAAACCACGCCGAAAAGTTCAAGTAAGTTGATGAGAAACAACAGTTCCTTATTGCACCAAAACAACTAGAGTCTGTTGTCATGATATGTTTGATATTTGGTTGTTTGATTCACGATTCAACCGAGTATTATTCATATCTTCACAATTTATCTCTTCTACTGTTTGCAATTTTTCACCATATCTTTGCTTATATTATTGTTCGATAAATATATTGTTTTATCGTATAGGAAGTCAATGAAAATCTTAATTTTGATGAACAAATCCTTGAAGCAGCGAAATCCATCATGAATGCAGCTGGCGCATTAATTACTGCTGCAACACTAGCTCAAAAAGAACTGGTGGCTCAAGGAAAAGTAAGTTTTAACAAACGATACATTTCCTTAAAAAAAAACAATCTTAGTTCGGCGTCTATCAGAATATTTTATTTGAGCGTTTAATGATTGATTTAATTAATGTGAAAATACAAAATTTCGAATATATGTTGTTAGGATATTCCAACAGATTCTTATGTTTAATTCAAACATGGTGGTACGCCCTCAAGCCTAATAGTTTTCCTTTATTCGCTTTGAATGATTACACGAAAATTATTTTTATATTTTGCATAAAACATTTCATCTTCGTTATCTTTTGCTTATTTTTATCTAACTAACCGATTGCATGTATGAAAAATGCCACAGTATTTAGTATTTATGTTTCTATCATTTGAAAAAAAAATCTATATTTTAGCTTTCATCTAAATCAAGTTCAGATGCACATGGTCAATGGTCTGAAGGTTTAATATCAGCTGTAAGTACTTTCGTGTTTATGTATCGTAAATATCATCGATTGATTTCTAGGCAAGTTATGTGGCATCGGCGTGTCATGTTTTATGTGATGCTGCCAATGAACTTGTTCAAGGTCATGGTACTGAAGAAAAATTAATATCGAGTGCAAAACAAGTCAGCTCAAATACGGCTGCATTACTTGTTGCTTGTAAAGTCAAAGCTGATTTCATGAGTCAATCGATGACACGTTTACAAAATGCTGGTAATGCTGTCAAACGAGCAGCTGATACATTGGTACGATCTGCACAACAGGCGGCTGATATGAAACAAGAAGATCAATCTTTTGAAGTTTCAACAAGTTTAGTTACAGGTATAGCACAAGAAATCAAATGTAAAGAAGCAATCTTAACAAAAGAACGTGAATTAGATGAAGCACGAAATCGACTTAAAGCAATACGTTTAGCTAAATATGGTCATAATGAACAAGAATCCAACGACAGTACATAAAAAAATATCATTTGTTTTTATTAATAGCAATTTCGGTGCAATTTTATAATCATGCTTTTTTAAAATCTATTTATACACACACTTTTTTATCCTAGTTTTAGTACTTCTTCTTTTTTCTTTGTTTGTCAGGCATGCGTGTGAACTTTTGTACATCAAAAATAACCCTTGTTTTGTTTGGTATGGCATTTGACTTAGTTAACAATGATTCATATAAAAATAATTATAATAGTTTCAATGTAGACTTGACAGATCACTTCTGAGACATTTAGCACTATAATTTATGACATAAATATGCATTCTTCAGTTACATAAATCAATGACTTTCGTCTGTCAACATATTCCACCAGTATTTACTAAGGACATGATAAAAAGCAATACCCTATTCTTTCAGTGAGTCTCTAATACGCCTCTTGTCCATCAAAAATCTCTTCACTTCTTGCCAACAGTGAAATTTACTTTGCGTGCAAATCATGAAGCGTAGAAAAAAAATCTGTTTTATTCATCGCAAGATAGTAACACGAAGATGAATGATTCGAAACATGAAAAGAAGTTACAACTTCCATTACCGTCACGGACATCACTAGACTACCATCATAGTCGTAGATAATAGTTATAGGAATAATATAGGAGAGAGCAGTGAGCGCTCTACTTCACTCCCACTGCTCCTTCTCCTTGATTTCCAAACAGACAAAAAGATCAATATTTTTAAACATTTTGACTTCTAGATTTGACATGTTAAAGTGCGGCGTGTTAAATAAAACAATTGTCCAGAAATCAAATTGAGACTCGTTCTGCAAAGAAGTCAATAAAAAAAAGTATGATTATCTATCGCTACTCTAGCCCAAGAAATGATTCTACAGCTCTTATGTACTCATTTAATCAACGTCCGGATACAGTCGCTATCGACGAACCATTTTACGGAATTCGATTAAAAAATAGTAATATCGTCACATAATTCTTATTCGTGATCTTGCGGAAAGTATGTCATCGATTGAATTTGCCATTTACGGATGAAATGTTATCATGGCCAATCGGTTCAAAACCTTGCGATGGTGTTTGGACCAAATTTTGGCAATGACGTACATTCAACAAGTGGATTCAGACCACCGTCAGGAATTAAAATAGCGGAAAACGATATTCAATTGTATTTGATTAAAGGGATAATCGAAATCCCAGATGAAAATTTCAGTGAAAAAACTTGATTGAAATAGCTTATATTTTTGCTCGAGAGCATAAGTATGATCTCTATTGAAGCTAAAACCACATTTTCATACTGTCGATTCAATGGGACTTGCTCATTTCGTTTTTCAAAGTTGCTTCATTACGGATCATTTTTTCGAAATCTGAAACCATTGAAACTTTTGAAATGATGTTATCTTATCTTTATATTCTTGAGTTAGTCTCAATTTTGAATATTTCACGATAAATATTCCATTAACATTTTAAACATAAAAAAATATTCTTAATGAAACATTTACGTGGTTCTGACTTTTATTACATTGAATTTAAATAAAAATAACTAAATAAAACCATAGCGGTTTTTAAGAGTTATAGAGAGTTGAATTTAAGAAATTCTCGTTTCAAGTTATGATTGTAACTACTTTATTCCTACAAAACCTTAAGAAATCAAATATTGACCTACTCCTTTAGCAAACACACTGAGAGATCATACAATACAGGATGAACGAATAATAATGGTGAGTTCAATTTTAAAAGCTAACAGCCAGATATGCATCCTCGCAGGCCGATTGTTCCGCTCGACAGATCCTGTAGGAGCCTTCAGAAAACCTGGGAGGAAGTCAGCTTATTCTGAAAATAACCACCGGAAATCATGGAGGAAAGTGGAGATGTTTTCCTGCCCGAATACTGCTCGCTTGTTCCAGCGGTCACTCATGATTTTCTGCCGGATACTGTGGGCAGAACGATCAATCTGAACTATAGCGATCCGGTGGCTCTCGATACAGAACGAGAAGAATGAAATCTTAGAAACCTTTAATCCGTTTCTGGCATTCGTTTCTGGGTTTTCGAGGTCTCGGAAACGTATTTTGAGTTTCCTAGGATACTTTTTTTTCTTTAGAGAGTACGATCGCACAAAAATTATGTTTATTTGTTTTTTTTTCTATAGTAAAATGAGAGTCTGACAACATGATGGATAATATCCATAGTAGAAAGACAAGTAACGCGAGGTAAGTGTCGCTAACTTTCTACTGAAATGGGTGACCATATTTGATAAATAATAAACAATCATACGACTTTTGGCGTAAGAATTAAGCAATGACAATTTTCCATGTGTCTGTATAGTGATAAATAGTGAGGTATATTGATAATTACAGAATTTAGCAGTCAAATCTATCCAACGTATGAGCTATTGTATATATCTGGATGTGGATTGTTCGATGGCCTTTTATTTAGATTCAATTACTACAAATCTCATTGGCAGTTTTATAAATAATATGTTGCTTAGTTCGAGAGCATTTTAAATATTTTGTTTGGCTCTTTTAATAGTCCAAAGGTTCATGAGAAGTGAACTCTGTCGTTTCGAAACATTCAGAGTGAAGCTTACAAATAAGAATACCGTTTGAATTAGATTTTATCCTTACACACGATCCAAATATGAAATTATTGCTAAACGATAACATCTCATGTACCTCTTTGTATGGAGCACACTAAAATAAAATAAGATAGATTAGCTAGCGTATCGCAATGTATTTTGTTAAATGAGTATCTAGCTATCAGAATTTCAAAAAATAATCGAACTTGATAATGGCAAATTTTCGGTTTCATCAATATTATTGACTAAAAAAGGGTAATCCGTTACATTTGAATCATTTACGTAACTTTGTTCATCTTTTCTGTCTCTATGAATGTTATCGCACTAGTATAAGATTTTAAAATATCGTTTCTTTCCGGGCGGAAGTAGGCAGTCGTCGTTTCGGTAGTCTTTCTATCAGTCAGTCATACAACGTTAAGAAAATAAGAATATCATATCGTTAAACTTTGAATTATAATCATCTGAAATTCAAAACGGTCTCAATCAAATAATAGGTAATCTCAACAATGTCAACGTGGCCCAAGAGAAAAACATAACTCATAGTATTCTGATTCGTCACGAAACGCCTTGCTTAGGATAATACTGGCATGAAAACAATTTATTCCTTGTATTCACGTTGAGAAAGGCTTCTGGCCAGAGTCTTCAATAGTCAGTTTTATTTTATTAAGCTTTAGTTATAAGAAAAAAACAATCAAATGAATATTTATAATGAGCTTCCTTCTAGAACCTGTCGGGTACATCAAAAACGGTTGACCCATACTAGTGGTAATATTAAAACTTTGAAACTACTCTGATAAAATTATTCAAATTAAAGTAGCGTAGCTCAGCTTTAATCTATAAATTTTAAGCTAAAGCAGGCATTTATTAAACTAGAGGGTGTGGGCGCCGGATTGGGTCGTCGTTGGTCAACAAACATCCACACCCACACTCACACCCTCACGAATTGCAGCGTTTCTTCGCGGAAAGATCTTAAAATATGATTTTCTATCGATTTGGATCTTCTAATCACAGAAATACCTTATAACTAAGGTAGTCACAATAAAGATCTCTAGTGATCTTCGTAGATCATTCATATTTGTTTCAGGATGCAGAATCGTGGGTTCCGTTGTGCTTCCGGTTTGTCCCATCAGTATCCTTTGCTTTTCCGGTTTGTATGTGAAGGTTTTCGTTGGCATTCCTGATTTTTTCCTCCCTGTTCCTCTAGGATCATTGTATGTTCCTTAGAGTTTCCAATGTCTGGATTTACGAGGAAGTTAAGGATTCAGGGTACGGTTTTTCTCGGATGGAATACTGCTTCTACTTCCTATTGTTTTTCCTGCAAGATCCGGCGGGGAAGGACTAAGGAGCTGGTGGAAAATAACTGGAAAGTAGCCGTTTCCAGACCGGTTCCGGAAGGATCCGGAGACCGGAGTCATCGACCTAGGCACACGAACATCGAAATTCAGTGATTTCTAATTCCCATGCTATATAATTGAATTATTATTCTTTTGATGAATCGAAGAGGTTAAACGAAAAGATTCTTTTCATTTTCAAATTTATTATTTATACATTTGATAATACAAAGTCATTGTAGCAATGATAAGTATGGTAATATATGTTGTGACTGTTAGTTTTGTTTGTAAAACGTTCCGATGGCATGAACCTAGATAAAAATACATGAATATTTCTAGAAAAAATAAACATATCAATGTATAGTATAATTGAATCAAGAACTAGCTAGTCTATCGAACTGGTAGAGACGATGGTTATCAATTTATTATCGATTATGGTTCGAATTCAAACTATTTAGATCATGCAAAAAGTCATGATCATAAATAAAATTCAGCAGCTATTTCTCATCACCACAGTGACGATACAACGCCTGCTCTCTGGATACATCTTTCTGTGATGCATTTCTCCATTATGATCAATTTCATCAAATGAAGTGTCTCTGACGAAAATGTGAAATTGATGTGATGATTGCGAGAAAATCTTTTCGTATTTAAAATATCTATGTATGTAAATGTTCTTTGTATTGTACCAGCCAGTTTTGAATCGATAATAGACAGTTTAATCTTCCATCATTTAAGAACTTCAACTATTATAGTTAACTCATTGCTTCTTCAGTAGCTACACGAGTTATGTCCAATCCATTGTATCAAAATTGAAGCACAATAGTGATAGCTATTGTATTCTTTAATTGTTCCTTAATTATAAGAAGTATATTTAGGACATAACAGTTATCTTAGATTTAGTCAAAACTTAATTCTATTGCCTTTCCTTATTTAAACAAAAAATAATTATACATAAATAAAAAAAAGCAACCAAACTGATGAATTCTTTGCTCCTTTTTTTTCGTTCTTGGCAGAGAGAGAGATAGACAGATTCAAGATAATAAAAGATAAGCATACTTTGAAGAAGGCGAAGTTGTTGACACAACGACACTCAAATTTTTGCAACCACGAAAAGTAAACGAAAGTTGAAAAAAAATAATCATGAAACTCGTGACAGTTGAATTCTATGCTTTCGTTTCTTGTTGATAAACATATCTGCAATAGGAACAAGGTATCTATCTATTAGTGAGTGTTAAGAGGAAAAGATAGAATATCCACATTTAACGTTTTAAAACATATCTATAAAAAGTAAGGTATAGGCTATATAAATCGAAAAGAGACCGATATTTCTACAATTCATTACTACTCATCATCTGTAATCATTTGTATTAAACAAGACGTACTCAATATGGGCGGAACAAACCCCAAGCCAACTGTTCCAAAATCAACAGTTAGTGCTGCCACAAGTAGAACAACAACATCAGATGCCATGCAATCGAGACGTCGGATGGTTCAGAACTATCTGGTCATTTGGGTCGATGGTAACATCGATGAAAGCACCGAAGATTTCCGGAATACGCTGGCCCAATTGCGCTCAGTGATAAGAGATGTGAATGTGTGCACGACACCTGAATGATGTATCGAGTTCCTCAATGAAATGGACGAGGGAAAAGCTTTCGTCATTTCATCTGGTGCTTTAAGACAAAGCCTCGTAAATGACATTCACGGCATGCCAAAAGTGGATGCCATTTATATTTTTGCGGCAACAAAGCGCGCAATGAACAATGGGCGAAAGATTGGTCAAAGATTCGAGGAGTTTTCACCTCAATCAAACCAATATGTGAATCTCTGAAAAAGGTCGCCCGTGAATGCGATCATGATTTGATTCCAATGAGTTTCGTTCCAAAGCGATGCGCGTCAGATGCAGCATCGAACGAGCAAAATCTTAATCAGTTACCGCCAACCTATATGTACTCGGTGATTTTTCAGGACATCGTATTAGAAATCGATGATGATGACACCAAATCTATTAAGGCTTTAGAAATTTATTGCAAAAAAAAAAGAAATTCCTGACACAGAAATAAATGAACTAAAGCGTAAATACCACCAGAAATCACCAGTATGGTGGTATACATGTGAAATGTTTCTCTATGGTATGCTTAGTTGGGGGTTACGATCACTTGATATGGAAGCGATGTTCAAGTTAGGTTTTTTTATTCGGAGTTTACATCTTCAACTGAAACAATTGCATCAGAAACAATCGGCTAAATTCAAGAAATCATTTGCCGTTTATCGTGGTCAAGGAATGAACGAAGAAGACTTTCAGAATTTACTAGATTCAAAAGGTGGTCTACTATCGTTCAATAATTTCCTATCAACAAGTATGGACCCAAAAGTGGGCATTGAATTTGTTGAACGTACTATGGAAAAGAACCAAGACATTGTTGGCGTTATTTTTATTATGACTATTGATCAAAGTAAAATATCAACTTCGAATACTCCATTTGCTATGATTGATGAACACAGTGCTATTCCATCAGAACAAGAAATACTCTTTACAATGCACACTGTTTNGTACAAATACGACGACAGTGACCTCGTGTACATGAAAAGGCCTTCCTAGTTCTACACTATTTCGCCGTTTCTAGTAACAATGAGTGGCTCTTCTTTTTTTTGTTTTGTAGTTTTTTGCGTTAAAAATAAATTTTAACTTTTATTATTCTGTCCGAAATAATAATTATTTTTTCGACTCAACCCAATCGCTCATTCTCATCTACTCTCATTTTATTTTAGTTCTTAATTTAATTTTAATTTCGTCGAATAGTTTTTGTGAACTATCTAAATGAGAAGAAATTATAAGTAAGTTATTTTGTTTTGAATTTATTTAAAACAGAAAAGAAAATAAGTTATAATTCCATTGTAATTTGACATCATTATAACACCTGTAGAGTTTTAGAAACAAAAAGAAATTAATTTGTTATGTTTTATACGTACATTTTTTATTTTTTATATCAGGACTGGTTGGTTGTCATTGATAGATGAGAATACATTCTAAAAAGAGAAAAATGAATAGGTTAGTGTCAGCTTTTTAAGAAGAGTTGTTATGAGAAAAAAAGAAATAATAATTATAATAATTTCATTGTAGTTGTAATTGTAATGCATTGTTAAACCTTGTGTATTGTGATGTAACACCCCTGAAAAGTAAATGACATTATTTTTAAAATAGATGCTTACTTATTATCTACTCGCCGATTGAATTGAATGACTTACATAGAATACAATAACGTATATTTATATGTTATTCTACGGAAGAAAAAGAAAAATAGCAATAACAATTTGTGTTCGATAATTGATTATGTGATCAATTTGACGATTGATAGTATAATCAGTTTATTGGTGACCGTCTTTTCATTAGTTGATTAATTGATAGTCAATTGTTTTATCTCAACAGTCATTTTTTTTAAACAAAGAAAAAATTAACAGGGTCTGACAAGTTAGCTTTCTTTTTAAGTACGTCATCAACTACGACAAATATATCGAAAACTTCTTCGTTGATAAAGAAATTCTTTTATGAATGGTTTATTAAGTGTTAAATTTTTCTATGTTGATCACATATGAGAATGCTCTTATTTTTTTCATCGTGCGTTTGACATTCGAATTTTAAATTTGAAGGCTTTCTTTTTAAGAAGTAGTTCTTTTAAGATAATTAACTTGTTTGGATATGAAATGAAATTCTATTCATAAGTATACTATAAGTACATAGAAATACGATGAAAATATAAATTTTTATATTTAATATCGTATCTTAAATCGGCAGTATATAATCCATTGTTTTCATAGTTTTACTCAACTTCATTTTTCGAATGAAAAATTTCTGAAACTATCATAAACGAATAATATACTTTTATATTTATACAAGAATTTTGATATTGATGATTATCAACAACAGATTTTTAAACAAAAGGAATTATTGAAGAAGAAGAGAACACGATTGTAAAACAAAGGATCACATATGGAAAAATTAACTTAAGACAACGTACTGTACTGTTTTAAACGAGAGGTAACAACACGGATGTTGAAATACTTTTACTCAATAAACCAAGATTATTGAAATAGGTTTGTACAACATAAACTATCTCATTATAGATTTGGAAAAGTAAATATTGTACAACATAAACTATCTCATTATTCCCTAGACTGAAAGGATAGGGTCTAGAAACCGTAATTTACCTGTGTCTGTCTGTAACAATGACACAAATGACCATTTCTATGCCACAAACGACCATTTCTATGGCACAAATGACCACTTCAATGACACAAACGACTAATTCTCATGGTACGAATGACCATTTCCGTGGCACAAACCACCATTTCCATGGCACAAATGACCATTTATATGGCACAATTGGCCATTCCTGTGGCACAAACCACCATTTCCATGGCACAATTGACTAATTATCACGGTCGAAATGACTAATTTTCAAGGTACGAATGAGCATTTCTGTGGCACAAACGACCATTTCCATGGCACAAATTATCATTTATATGGCACAAATGACCAATTCTCATGGTACAAATGACCATTTCTATCGCACGAAGGACCCTTTGCAATGCGCAAACCATGGGCGGATGCATGAAATGGTCACGTGAAACAGTCCGCTCTGAATATGGGTTCAGTGGAGGGAGAGAGCTGATCCCCCTACGGATCTTTGAGCTAGCCATCACGAAATTTCTGAACCATATATTTTTTGTGGCTGAGTAAAGCTGAACCTCTTCCCCGCC